AATAAATTATGAACTATTATTTAATGGATTCCGAAATAAAAAAACATATCAATTTACTATCAGAACTGTCGAGGCTTAAGAACTAAGTTGCACACTCTTTTTATGAATATTTTACTTCACGATTATGATATAATAATATTGACAGAAACTTGGCTTCATAGTGGCATTTATGATAACGAATTAATAGATCAACGTTATAGAGTATTTCGCAGCGATCGGAATCGGACGGCAACCAGCCGTAAAAACGGTGGTGGCGTATTAGTAGCGGTGCGCGGCTCACTTGCTGCCGTGCCATACGGCCTGCCCTCCGCGCCTCACGCTCCCCCCGAGCCGCCTCCTATTGTTGACCATACCTTGATACTTATAGGTTCGGGTTCTAATAAGCTTCTGTTATGCGCTTCATACATTCCAACCGATTTAAATAATGAAGTATACCTTACTTACCTAGATTACATATGTTATGTCATGCAACCTTTAGATTCACATAAATTTTTAATGGTGGGAGACTTTAACTTACCTACAATTAATTGGCTTCCTAAAGATAATTATCTAGAACCTAGCTTATATACATGTTTATCTTCTAGGCAATTAATTAATTTTATGGCTTTGACGGACAGCTTCCAATTTAATCACTTTAGAAACTTAGATGACTGCACCTTAGATTTATTTTTATCAAATATTTTAGAATGTAAAATTATGGATGCTCCTTATAATTTGTTACCATTGGATAGTCTTCATCCTACTTTTTATGCTTTAGTGCCTTTTATGCATGATAATGAGTCTATGCCAAAGATTTCACGAAGACAGTTTTGTTTTCGAAATGCTTAGTAATAAATAATGAACTTCCCAAGGTACCATGGGACGAAATGTTCTCAGGTAAATCTGCTGAAGAGGCTGTGATAAATTTTTAAGAAATACTCTATGGTTTTATCAAGAAGTTCATACCTACAAAAATCTTAAAACAATCTTCATACCCTGTTTGGTTTAACGCCACTCTGATTCACACTTTCAAACGTAAAGAGCGTGCCTGGATCAAGTGGAAAAAATATGAAAACTCTTATGATTATAACGAATTCTCTAGGCTTAGAAAGCACTTTAATAAAGAGTGTGCAATAAGATATAAAAACTACATGTCGTCAATTCAAAATAATATTAAAAAAGATATAAAGCATTTCTGGACATATCTATTTTGTCAGCTGTGTCGATGGTCTTCGAACGATTAACTTTCAACTCTATATATCCATTACTGCATAATTTAATCATACCCGAACAACACGGTTTTGTAAGACGACAATCAACTACTACCAATTTATTAATATATCTAACGGACTTATTCGAAAATTTAGACTCAAATCATCAAACTGACTGTATTTATATAGACTTTCGTAAAGCCTTCGACAGAGTTGATCACAAAATCCTACTTGATAAAATTGCTTTCAACGGTATACGTGGCAATCTTTCGCGGTGGTTAAAATCATATGTAACTAACCGCACGTAAAAGGTTGTGATTAATGGTTAAGAATCAGAACCTGTGTCTGTCACCTCCGGGGTACCTCAAGGATCTATATTGGGACCACTATTATTTATACCTTTTATTAATGATATTGACTCCTGTTTTCAGCACAGTAACTTTTTACTATACGCTGACGATCTTAAAATTTATTGTACCATTTGTGACAATGATGATCACCTCAGACTTCAGGATAACTTGGACCGCTTTTCTGCTTATTGTTTAAAAAATAAATTAAGTCTTAGTATTAATAAGTGCAAAATGTTAACTGTCACTAAGAAAATTAATTTTAATCAACAATCATATTCCTTGTGCAGCTCTACTTTTGAAAAAGTACATTCTATTTGTGACCTCGGCATTACCATTGACAGTAAATTAACACTCGATACACATGTTGAACAAATATGTAATAAAGCTCTTAAAATGTTTGGGTTTGTAATGAGAGTCTGTAAGGATTTTACCAACCCAGCAACATATATCGTTTTGTATAAGGCACTGATACGCTCTCAGTTGGAATACGCTGTTGCTTTGTGGAATCCCTTTTATAATGTCTATACCGATCAGATTGAGAGGGTACATAATTTTTTTTATGTCAATGTACTATAGATGTAAGCAAAAATATTGTTCGTATAATGTTATATTAAATAAATCATCATCATCATCATCATCACAGCCCTTCACAAGTCCACTGCTGAACATAGGCCTCCCCCAAGTAATGCCACAAAGCACGGTCCTGAGCCACCTGCATCCATCGACTTCCTGCATATCTTACCAGGTCGTCACTCCATCTAGTGGGGGTTCACCCTACACTACGCCTACCGGTACGAGGCTGCCACTCGAGAACCTTTCTTCCCCCATCGGTTATCGTTCTTCGAGCTATATGGCCGGCCCATTGCCACTTCAGCTTACTAATCCGTTGGGCTATGTCAGTCACTCTGGTTTTACTGCGGATATCCTCATTTCTGAGTCTATCACGCAGAGAAACTCCGAGCATAGCCCTCTCCATAGCTCGCTGAGCGACCTTGAGCGTCCTCATACGGCCAGCAGTGAAGGTCTCTGATCCGTAAGTCAGCACTGGCAACACGCATTGGTTGTACACTTTAGTTTTCAGAGATTGAGGTATACCTGACGAGAAGATGTGTCGTAATTTCCAGAACGCTGCTCAGCCGAGTTGAATCCGTCGATTGACCTCTCGGTCGAAGTTGGACTTACCTAGTCGGACTATTTGTCCCAGGTAAACGTACTCGTCAACAACTTCGAACATAGTGCTCCCAACAACTACCGGCATAGGTGTGACATGGACATTAAACATGACCTTTGTTTTGTCTATGTTCATCTTAAGACCTATCCGTTGGGAGGCACTATTGAGGTCATTGAGTATAGTGCTTAAGTCCTCCAGCGATTCTGCCATAAGGACTATATCGTCGGCAAATCGAAGGTGAGTGATGTACTCGCCATTGATGTTAATACCGTATCCTTTCCAGTCCAGTAGCTTGAAAACGTCTTCCAAAGCAGCGGTGAAGAGTTTCGGGGATATAACGTCACCCTGTCTTACACCTCTCTGCAGTAAAATAAATTAAATAAATACAAAATGTTAACTTTAAAGCTCAGACGACAACAATTAGTTGCAATGATATTATTTGACCTTTGCCATAATAGATATGATTGCATTCCTCTAACAAATAAATTGCGGTATCGTGTACCTACTAGGTCACATGAAAGATCAATATGCTCACGTCAAACATTTGCCCTTCCTTTGTGTAGAACCAATGCTGGCAAAAGAGCGCCGTTGTATCGCTTAATGCAAAATTATAATGATCACTTTTGGGACATTGACATTTTTAATAACCATGCTAACTCCTATAGAAGCAAAGTGATTAATAAGCTTATGAGTCGTGTTAACTAAAAACTAAATAAAATAAAATAAATCAAAATATATCAAAACTATATCTAAATTATATAATTGTTTGAAATCAAAACTAAAATGTGAACAGTTTTTTTTGTTTAGTTGTTTGTACTAGAGTGTAGTGTTTTTAAATAGTTCAATATGGCTGATCTGTTTAAGTAATTCCAACTAATGTCATTTTGTAATATTGCATATTATGTAGTAAGTCCTCCTTCACATCTCTCACTTTTGTAATTTATCCTATAAATTACTATCTGAGGCTGGTGGTGTTGGCTTCACTAAGTTCAAATTTTAGGATTAAGATTAGTTATTAAGCCTCTGTTGAAGTTGTTTACTGGTCCTTAAATAAATTTAAAAAAAAAGGGGAAAGGTCTCAGCGATGAGTTCGACCACTAAAAGCTATTGGACCCAATGGGACAGCTTGCTGGTTCAGGATGGAGTCCTGTGCCGTAAATGGGACAATGGTCGAGGTGACAGCTGTCGTTTGCAAATGGTTGTCCCTAAAGCTAAAGTACCAAATGTTCTACAGTTGTACCATAATGATTGTTCAGGAGTCCATCTGGGAGTTAAACGAACTCTACTGATTATCTGAGAACAGTTTTACTGGGTCCATTATTGTGACGATGTCGAGGATTGCTGTCGCACATGTACAAGTTGTGCGGCTATGAAGGGACCTCAGACACGTAGTAGAGGAGCATCGAAATTGTACAATGTTGGTGCACCAAGTTATAGGACAGTCCTCGACCATTGACCCTTGAACTCCTAAGATCGTCCATGTGGATCGCCTGGCGCGTTATTATTGGGCCGATAATGCTCGGGACGAGCATGTCTTAGGAGGAGGCAGTGTTACGCGCCTAAGTTGACGTCAGGTACCTGACACTAGCGCCATCTAGTGTCGGGGACCAGAGCGAGGTGGGCTTCCTAGAAAATGTCTATCTTGAACTTTCGACCAACAGCGCCAATCGAATCAAATTCTTTTTCATAGTACACATACGCAATGAAAACAGTCTTTAAGTAACGGTTTTCCACCCGCTTTCAGAAGCTCCACTGGAATTTCATCCTCATCTGGGCCTTGCCGGTTTGAAGGTACTAGAGAGCCGTTGTAATCTGGCTCAGACTGACGTGTGGTGACTGGCGGTCATACAAGCATTTTAAGCTAGTTTAAAGTTAAAGAGCTTAACTACTATGTTAGGTATTAATTAGCGTAACTATATAATTTTTTCTTTAAATCAAGTCAATATATTTAAAAAACAATTTGTATTTTTTTTTCTAAAGAACTTTTAAGTCGCAAAACAAGACGTTGAAACAAAAGTTTAAAAATAATTTGTTTCAATTACTCAAATGATGTAGTATTTTATATTGAAAGTACATAGTAAAAATGTACTTATATTTAATGAATTATCCAGAGATTTTATTTATTTCTTAAAACATACAACTTAAAACATACAACATAAGTCTGTAGCTGAAGTTAGGTTATTATTTATTCGTCCACAATTGATTTTCCTAAATGACTAAAAATAAAAGTAGGTACGAATAAAATATCGTTAACCATAATTTTTTATGGACTAATAAAAAATTGTTAACCTGTGTATGGTCATCATCAGCACGTCGTCTAAATACATTCGCTGGTACCACGTTTCTTTGGGGAACTTGGCGCAGCTTTGGTGGTATAACTTTATATTTCCATTCCGATGACGGTATGCTAAAAATAAAAAGAAGTAATTTATTGAAAAAAAATTGTATATTTTTATAGCTGTTGTAAATGAACGCAGCTATTCAATTATTAAAAATATACCCAATTTAGGGCATGGACAGTAAATCTAAATATTTATTTTAGTTCACAATTCGATTGTCGTCTTGAGCCATAAAAGCATAAGCTTAAATATTAATAGCATATTGTTGTGCACCTAAGTTGACGTCAAGTACCCGGCACTAGCGCCATCTAGTGTCGAACAGAAGAACTAAACTTTCTAGAAGCCCCACACTCGAACTTTCTGTGTCTGGTCGGTCGGCACCCGTATCTACGGGAATATTCTGGATGTTTCGGTGTAAAAGTGTAATTAAACCCGCTGCATGCCGCGAACGTGGCAGTATTGAATTTGGCGAAACAAGCGAAGCTTCGGAGCGAAATAAAGTGATCAGTGTGATTAATTACTAATATTTTAAGTTTAATTGGCGTTCGGTAATAAAAGTGTAAATTTTGGTAATTCAATCGGCAGTTTTTATTGTAACGAACCTCAAGCTCGTAACAATTGGTGTCAGAAGTGGGACAAAATCATGCCGATTTTACCTAAGGAGGAAATGGAGGGTGTCCGTACCCGAAGTTAACGCCAGCAGGAGACGGACCAGAGAAGATTTGGTGGTGCAACGCCGCAGACGTAAGAGGGCCAACTGCCAGCCACGGAGGCTGGCCCGACAGCACCTCCTACACCGCAGCACCTGACTTAGGCGCTCTGATGGTGATGCTGCAGGAGTAGGCTCGCCGACAGGAGGAACAGGTCCGAGGGTTGGAAGAGCAGCTGCGGGGCGGACAGGAAGAACAGGCCCGCTGACAGGAGGACCAGGCCCGTCAGTTGAAAGAGCAGCAGGAAGAACAGGCCCGTCGCTTAGAAGAGCAGCTCAAATGCGATAGGGAAGAGCAGATGCTTCTCATGAAGGACCTTCAATTCAAAGAGATAAGGGAGGTGAAGGATAAGGTTGCTCAATATGATAACCGCCTGTCGGAAGCTGAGACCCAAATCAACCAAGTTAAGAAAACGCTGGATGAACTCAAATTTGGAGATGGAATTGCAGTCCCCGCAGTAGCTACATCACCTTCGCTACGTGGCTTCAAAGTGCCACCGTTCGACGGGACTTCTTCCTGGTCAGCTTACAAAGTCCAGTTTGAAGCTGTTTGAAGACGAACGGCTGGAATAAAAGTCAGGCCATGACCGATCTCACACTAGGCCTGTACGACCAGGTCTTAACTGTTCTGGAAGCTCTCGGTGAGGAAGTGACTTATGAGCAGCTCCTTGAGGCATTGAAGGCAAGATATGGCTACGCTCACCTAGAACATGTCTTTCGTGCGCAGCATAAAGATCGCGTGCAATGCATCAACGAAACCCTGCAACAGTGGGCTCTAGAGGTGGAGAAGCTTCTGCGAAAAGCATACCGGTCTGTACCTGCACTCATTGAAGGGAACCTGGTGCAGACATTCATCGACGGCATCCGCGACAATGGTCAAGGAGGCAGCTGTCGTTTGCAAATGGTTGTTCCTAAAGCTAAAGTGCTGAATGTTCTACAGCTGTACCATAATGGTTGTTCAGGAGTCCATCTGGGAGTTAAACGAACTCTACTGATTATCCGAGAACAGTTTTACTGGGTCCATTATCGTGACGATGTCGAGGATTGGTGTCGCACATGTACAAGTTGTGCGGCTGTGAAGGGACCTCAGACACGTAGTAGAGGAGCATCGAAATTGTACAATGTTGGTGCACCATGAGATAGGACAGCCTTTGACATTGCGGAGCCGTTTCAGAAAGGCGCAAGAGGGACTCCTGAGATCGTCCATGTGGATCGCCTGGCGCGTTATTGTGGGGCCGATAATGCTCGGGACGAGCATGTCTTAGGAGGGGGCAGTGTTGTGCGCCTAAGATGACGTCAGGTACCTGGCACTAGCGCCATCTAGTGTCGAACAGAACAATTAAGCTTTCTAGAAGCCCCACACTCGAACTTTCTGCATCTGGTCGGTCGGCGCCCGTTTCTATGGGAATATTCTGGATGTTTCGGTGTAAAAGTGTATTTAAACCCGCTGCATGCCGCGATCGTGGGAGTATTGGATTTGGCGAGACAAGCGAAGCTTCGGAGCGAAATAAAATTAATCAGTGTGATTAATTATTAGCGTTTTAAGGTTAATTGGTGTTCGGTAATAAAAGTGTAAATATTGGTAATTCAATCGGCAGTTTTTATTGTAACGAACCTCAAGCTCGTAACAATATCATCATCACCATCATGATTACAGTCCTTCACAAGTCTACTGTTTAACATAATCCCCAAGGAATGCTATAAAGCACAGTCCTGAGTCACGTGCATACATTAATAGCATGTAGCATATGTTTATTTTATACTCTGTTTTAGGAGTTAACGGGAAGATTAAAACTATTCATAGCATTAATAGTGTTTTTATTAAATATTATTTTAATAAAAGAAACATAGGAGTTCGTATCCCGTGGGTGTCGTAGGAGGTGACAGACGTTTTCCTAATAACGACTACAAATAAAAATAAAAACTGCGGTTGCCAACCAACTTGCCTGGAGTGGCAACTGTGGTAAATAATAATAATAAATGGGAGGCAATCTACGGGTGAGTCCTATCTTCAACAGCGGACTTTAATAGGCTGTTAGGTAACGTTAATGGTTATATAGGAGTTAAGCTTACATATTATCAAAGCCATCGCTCGTTTTGGTAGGGTCAGGAGGTCCACAGCAAGAAAGCAACCAACCGCTTCCGCAGCCTCTTAGCCGCGTGCCTCCTCGTAACCAACAGGTCAGTGACAGAGTGCACGGTTTCAGTTCAGATCCCACACTGCAAGTAGTTGGGTAACCCAAGAAAGATGCGAGCACACGACTGGTCAAAGCTGTAATGTAAAGCAAATTTTGTAGCATTAGCTATATTGAAACTATTACGCTTGAAACTACAAACTACAGTAGTTGCAAGTTGCTTAACTAACGTTTCGCACTCTTTGACCTTGTTTTCACTGTCGGTCTGGGTATTTTTGTGTGGCCAAACAGAATAGACATTTTTAATGGAACACTACAAGAATTTTGTTAATTTATCTTAGTCGAATCTTGCCATACTTACTGCAGGATCTAATTCTGCATTGTATTAAGCTGTACATAAGCAAAAATGAGTTCCGTAACAAAATTAAAAAATATTATATAACAATAAATATTATGTATATAAGAAATATTTAATGTGTAAAATTCTTCAATTTTAAAAAGAGAATTTTAAAATTGGTTTTGTAAGTTTTGAAATTGAATTTAATAATAAAAAATTTACTAACTTTTTGACTGCCTCGTTGGTCTAGTAGTTGTAGTATGTGCGACTACTGATCATGAGGTCCTGGGTTCGAATCCCGGGTCGGGACAAAAAATTAATTATTGAGTTTTTCTGTCAAGAAATTCTAAGTAGCTGCCCGGAGTCAGGAAGTTGGCGGTGTCTCACCCCCATGCCTCGGAAAGCATGTAAAGCCGTTGGTCCGGCGCCTGATCTCTCTCCGATCGTGGGTTTACCGTCCCATCGGATTATGAGAATGAGGGAACAGAGAGTGCACTTGTGCCTGCGCATACGCTTGGGCACTATAATCCTGTCCCGTGCTGATGGCTAGCCTCCGTTGAGGCAGGCCGCCGTGGCTGAAATTCGGTCTGGAGGACATTATTATTATTATTATTATGGGTGGTATCAATATGGTTTTTTCATCTGGTTGGGTTCTATAAATATATAATACAAATGAAAATGAAAAGATAAATATACATAAATATAAATAACATAAAATAAATATAAAAATACACAAATAAATAAAAGCCAACCAGATGGAGGCCTTCGGCAGGGGGAGACCAAACAGCCGAGGGTTAGAGGGAAAGGGAAAGAAACCAGCGGACGATGCGGGCGGTATCGAGGAGCACCGCCTGCTGCTTTTGAGCCTGGAGCGGTCCACCACGTAGTCCCAGCCGTCTCAGATGACCCGAGATCTTTCAGAGGCGACTACAGGAGTAATTTCGGTCGGCAGACCACCACACATGTCGGTCACCTCGTGAGCCAGGTCCAGATATTTTGTTTGCTTATCTGTTTCGGCTTTCACGAGGTTTTCGTCATACGGAATGGTAATGTCGACCAAAAATATCCTTGACCGTGCCCGGTCCATCAGCACAATATCAGGCTTATTCGCAAGAATAGTCCTGTCTGTGATGATGGCCCGGTCCCAATAGAGCCTGGCTCTCACCCGGACAGATATCAGATTGCCGTCGACGCCTCTTTAGACTCCTCGGACCATTGTCTTGTCCGGAGTGTGGTGCCACTCACGCTGAAATCGCAGTTGCATTCTGCAGGCTGCCGCCGTTTTTGGCACTATACGTCAGCCGATTGGGATGGGATGCGGTCTTTCTTTGCATCCACATCCTACCCTTGGGGGCGGGTTTGCTTCTCGCCGGACGATCCCAACGTTGTTGCGGATTCTGTCGCTGATGTGGTACTTCAGGGTATGGAACTTTTTATTCCTTCCTCTGTGGTGCCCATTGGAGGCAAATCTCAGTCATGGTTTGGCCGCTCCTGTAAAATAGCATCATGCTATAAGCAGGAGTGCTGCCAAGCCTGAGCTGACCCATCAGCGTCCCGGGATGCAAACACCAGCGCTCTAAAAAAAGAAGTATAATTCCGCCTCTAGGTCCTTCAAAAGAGTCATTGCCAAGGCAAAGTCAGAGCACATAAGTAGAATTGGCGAGAAACTAGTTTGCCTGCCTTCTGGAACCCGTGCATTCTGGTCTATCCCTATCCTATATTAAGGCTATCCAGGGGAATTTCTGTCAGCCATCTCTTCCATCTCTGCACAGGGAGGACGACTCACTGGCCCATACCGCAAAGGAGAAAGCCGAGCTTCTAGGCTCTTTCTTTGCGTCCAACTCGACTCTCGATGACGGGGGAGTACGCCACCGACCATCCCGCGGTGTGAGTGCTCCATGCCGGAAGTGCAGTTTACACAGCGCTCGGTTCGCAAAGCACTCCTCTCCCTGGACATCCACAAGTCGAATTGGCCTGACGGAATCCCCCCAATTGTGCTGAGGACGTATGCTCCAGAGTTGGCACCGGTTTTAACGCATCTTCTCCGGTACTCCTACTTCCCTAGGTGTAGTCCCAAAATCATGGAAGACGGCTTTCGTCCACCCGATACCTAAAAAAGGCGACCGCTCAGACTCGTCCAAATACCGGTCTATCGCCATCAACTCCTTATTCTTCAAAACAATGGAGTCCGTTGTAAACTGCCAGCTCATGAGGTACCTTGAGGATCACCAGCTGATTAGTGACCGCCAATACGGTGTTCGCCGTGGTCGGTCAGCTGGTGATCTTCTGGTCTTTCTAACTCACAGATGGGCGGAGGCAGTAGAATCCAAGGGGGAGGCATTGGCCGTTAGTTTGGATATTGCGAAGGTCTTCGATCGGGTTTGGCACAAAGCGCTTCTTTCGAAGCTCCCTTCCTATGGGCTTTCCGATAAATTGTGCGATTGGATCACCAGCTTTCTTGCAGATCGGAGCATCAAGGTCGTTGTAGACGGTGCAAGCTCCGATTGCAAGCCTATTAATGCTGGTGTTCCACAAGGCTGCGTGCTATCGCCAACGCTGTTTCTTCTGAATATCAATAATATATTGCAAACCCGTAACATTTATTGCTATGCAGATGACAGCACTGGTGATGCTCTGTACACCGGCCGAGCCAATATTTCTCGGGAAAACGTCTCCGAGTGCCGGGACAAACTTGTGTCTGAAGTCGAGTCTTTACTGAACAGCGTCTCGGATTGGGGCGACTAAATCTAGTCCAGTTTAACCCCCAGAAGACACAAGATTGCTCGTTAACCGCTAAAAGGAACCCCTTTGTAGTATCTCTTCAGTTTCAAGGCACTCCCCTTGTTGTCTCAGCTAGTATCAGAATCCTCGGCGTCAACATATCGAGTGCCGTGCAGTTTCGTGGTCACTTAGAAGAGAAGGCGAAATTGCCCTCTAAAAAGCTTGGCGTGCTCAGCAGAGCGGGACAGTATTTCATGCCGGCACACCGCCTGCAACTTTACAAGGCGCAGGTTCGGCCGCACATGGAATACTGTTTCCATCTCTGGGCTGGGGCTCCCCAGTACCAGCTCCTTCCACTTGACCGCATCCAGCGTAGAGCGGCTCGAATCGTCGACGACCGAGTGCTTTCCGATCGGCTCGATTCACTGGCGCTGCGAAGAGATGTTGCATCTCTTTGCATTTTCTTTCGCATATACCATGGAGAGTGCTCTGAGGAATTGTTCGGAGGTATTCTCTATTTGCTCTGGTTTGCTCTGAGAAATTTCGTGAACGCACACGCGACAAACGTCCCGATACCATCCATACCACCTGGATGCTTGGCGGTACACCACTGTACGTTTCAAAAGGAGTTTTCTTCCGCGTACAACCTCTCTGTGGAATAGTTTACCACCGACGATTTTTCTCTAAAGGGCCGGCAACTCACCTCCGATTCCCCTGGTGTTGCGGTTGATCATGGGCGGCGGTAGTTACTTAACATCAGGTGAGCCGCATGCTCGTTTGCCCCCTCTTCTACATAAAAAAGAAGAATTTAGTCCGTCTCGCAAAGGTCCCGGCTGGCTTCCAAATAGATCACCAGCATTGGGTTAAGAGCCCGCACGACAGTCCGATTTCGCTTGCTAAGGGGTATGCGGGGAAGTCGGTCGATTTTCGAGAGGCATGCTGCGCGTTCCAGCATCGACTCTTCCAATATGCTCATAATTTTCTCTAGTTCGAGGGAGACTATTTCATCATCGTCTGAATCAACCACTAATGGAATATTGACGGCGGCATCCATATATGCAGTTTGCTGCGCAACTATTGGCGCCGCATTCCCAGCCGTAGCGTTTCCATTCGATGAGGGAACAGCCTCACGTCGTAGTCGTTCGAGTTCGGCGTCACCAAATATGTTGGAGCACAGGATGTACCGAACTCGGTCTGCCAGGTTTTGCTCAGTGACGGATAGAGATGGCTCCAGCTCTGTAAAAAAGCGATGCATCCGAGCCCGATACGCCAAACATCCAGTTTCTTCCCCTTTTGCCCTAAAGTACGTCATGCGACGTGCTCCACCAGCGGCGGGTGCCGATTGCTGAGTCCGAGAAGACCAAGCCGACACCAAGCCTTCTGGTGGGGATGATGAATGCCCCGGGGGCCAGGTGGTCTTGCAGCACCCCGCACTCGGCTGGCGGCCCGCATGCTGTCACGTCCATCGCTAGCTCCAGACGCGCCCTGGTGACCTCCAGGCAGCGGCCCTTTGCGCACTATCTTTTTATCCATCATCCATGATTTGGGCGTCAATTAACGGGAGACGCCCAGGCCCAGCACCGTATCGTGTGTGGCCATAAGCACAAACGGGCCTTTGCACCCTAAATTCTGCCGAGGCACGGCGCTCACACCTCTCGCAAGGCAATGACTGACTGCGTTGACGTAGCAGTTTTGTCACTTAACTGTTACGTCAGCGAGCGATGGGATCGTCAATTCTCTACGCCATTTTATTTATTATTATTATTAAATTTACAAATACCTTCTACAGCTCCCGTTTGTCCAGTTACATTTAAAATCATTAGTGGAATTAAAATTATTGCGCTCATCCGCCATTTTGTCGACCTTTTTTGTCGCCATTTTTTGAGTTTAACAACATTACATTTGTGTACACGGGAAATTTTGTGGAATTTACTGGCTCCTGGATGTTTTATTAAAATCCATGATGTGTTTGTGGTAAGTTTCACCGTTGACATGGCGCTTTTATAAAATTGTATTGTTCGGACATATCGTAGGCTTGTAATTTACTTGCTTTTTTTTAGAATTGAACCTTAAAAAAAAGACATTTTTATAATTAGTTAAAAAGTTTAAAGTAGTAAAAACTTAAAATTGTATATCTATATTATTATATTAGCGTAAGTAGCGTAAGAACATACTTGCAATTAGTAGTTACATTTGTATAGCAGGAATAGAACAACCTCTTTGTAGCTGAGAATAAAATCTTAAGAAGAATATTTGACCCTTTTTATTATTATGTGTTTTTTAGAAGGGAAGATGGCAGTTGGAGGGGTTCGGAAAAGCCTTAAAATAGAAAACCTTATGGCCGATCTAAACAACATTTGAGATATAAAAGCACACCACCTCCTGTGGATCTGTCATTGATCATTCAATATTAGCGTGCGTGAGCTGACAGCTTAACAGTGTTTTTATTTGCTCCGCAATAAAAATTAGTTAAAGCTAGTAAATCGAACTTTCAAACGTTTTAACTTGCATATTTACTTAAAACAATAGTGAAGTTGTGGTTTGACATTAAAGGTGTAGTGATAACACGCGTGATTTATTAGTAATTAAGAAGATCATTTAAAACTGTCACTAAATACATTACAAACGATTACGCTCGCTTTGTCTAGTGAGGGCTCAAACGCGTTCGAGCGTGTGAATCATTGTAGCGGCAAGCCGAGTTCCTTTTCGTTGATACTTTGTTTACTAATTACTCGCCTTAATAATTTTAATAAGACCGAACTTCGCCTTCGCCCTTAAATAAATATATCAAAAATGACGAAAGCTTGTGCAGGCTGCTCTGCAAATCTTCGTAAGGAGTTTTATTTGGTTTGTCAATTGTAATGATTCTTATGATCTCCTTGTGTGCAAACTTCACTCAAAATAAATTCAGTTTAATGAGTAAAGATAATAAAAATACCTGGATCTGTCATGCCTGCCGTGTCAAAATACCAAAGCATGACAATACAAATACTCCGGTCCGCATCAGCACCTCGAAGCCATCAAATACCTCACCCGCTCCTCCTGGCTCTGACCATTCTAATGTTACCATGCGATACAAAAGTCGACAGGGAGTCCCAGACAACCAAATAAGCGGGAGTTCGAGCCAGAATACATCGTTGTGGGACTCACAATTAGAGGGTAAACATGTTTCTACCATGAATAACCTATCTATGGAAGAAATACGAGGTATAGTGAAGGATGAATTTAACATTGCTTTTTCGCATTTTGAAACTAATTTGCTAAAAAATATGGAGATAAAAAACAATGAACTTATAGAGCGTGTAGAGCAATTGACAACCTCACTTAATTTCTTCGAAATAAAATATGAAGAAATTCGTGCTGATGTATAAACTAAAAATGAATTGCTGAAAAAGTTAGAACATGAAAATAAAGAGCTAAAAACACCATTCGAGGGCTAGCAATATAGAAATACATTGTATACCAGAACACAAATCAGAAAACCTTGTAACTGTTATCAAGCAAATTGCAAATGTAACAGAGTATAAATTAAGTGAAACAGATATTCACTTATACACTAGAATATCAAAAATGGATAAAAATAGTTAAAAACCACGCTCTGTACTCGTAACGTTTGCTAGCCCGCATCGACAATGATCTTCAATAAGAAACAGAACAACAAAGGCAAAAAGCTTAACTCAAGTCACATAGGGATGTCAGGAGAACAAAAACCTACCTATGTTATGGAACATTTATCTCCGGCTATGAAGTCTCTTCATGCGGCAACCCGTGTTAGAGCTAAAGAAATGGGCTATAGATATGTATGGATTAAATCAGGACGTATATATGTAAGAAAAACCGAGTCATCTGAACATAAATGTATTAAAAATATTGAAACAGTCTAAGCTAATTGAATTAATTTATTAAAGTAGAATAATTACAATAAATTATACAAATGTGGGTTATCCTACCACATCATACGATAATATATCATGTTATTACCAGAATATCCGAGGCCTAAGATCGAACGTTAGGGATGTCTCATTAAAAATCCAAAACAATAATTTTGACATTATAATTCTTACAGAAACGTGGTACTGCACAGTTTATGATTCTGAAATCTTTGACGATAGATATACAGTGTACAGAAGAGATCGTGCAATTAATAAACTTGGTGGCGGAGTTCTCGTAGCTGTATCTAACAATTTAACATCTTGTAGAATATCTAATTGCAATACTGAATGTAATGTAATGTGGGTAAATGTTAAGACTTTTATAGGTAAGAAATGCGAATTTCTTAAAATCTGTGTTGTGTACCTGCCACCACCTCTAAATCAAAACTTATTTAGAACATTCATTAATAACACAAATCGAAACATGGACGAGTATAACACAAAACACACGTTAATATCCTGGGAACAACATCGCTCTGGTACGTATCTTTTACCGATCTTAAACAGCAACAATAACATACATAATTTGCTCTTAGATTTCTTGGAATTAAATGACTTCAAGCAATTCAATTCTATTATAAATAGTAATAAAAAAAATTTAGACTTATTTTTATGTAACTACGAAATAGTAAAGATTAATGAATGTTCCAACCCTATACGTAATGTTGACACTCACCATCCACCATTAGAAGTATATATTGCAATACCATCCAGTTATTATCCGAATCACGAGAAATTACAGAAAAATAAGTATTTTAAAGGTACGATCAGATTACTAAAGCCCTAGACGAAATCTTATGGGAAAATGTAATTTTAAAATATGATAATATTAACGACATAGTTAATGAATTCTATCTACTACTTTATAAAATAATAAATCTATATGTGCCTAAAAGTAAAAAATGTGGCAATAGGCATCCGGTATGGTACAACTCTTATTTGATATATCTATTAAAGCAAAAAAGAAGTTTCACAGAAGATACAAGATCTATAATAATCCCTTAGACCTACTAGAATTTCAATACCTACGTCACGACTGTGAAATAGTTACAGAAACATGCTATGACAAATACATATCTACACTAGAACACGAAATAGGTAGATATTCAAAATATTTTTGGACATACATTTCTAACAAACGTAAAAACTCGTCTAGATACCCACCATCAATGTATTTAGGAGACAAACAATCAAACGAACTAAAAGAATCCTGTAACTTATTTGCAGCGCATTTTTCCAGTGTCTATAACACCCCACCAAATAACAACAGTAACTCAGTATATTTGCTCGACTCAACCAATAATAAACAGAATAAAAAGACTTGATATAAACCAGAGTGCTGGACCTGACAATGTCCTCCCCCTATATTCTTAATTAAGTGTGCAAATTCAATATCCTACCCCTTACAACTTGTTTATAATACTTCACTTAGGACAGGGAGTTTTCCCGATAAGTGGAAAGAAGAAAGAATAGTACCTATTTACAAAGATGGAAATGGAAAAAAGAACTTGTATCTAATTATCGACCTATATCAATCCTCTCTACCGTATCAAAGATTTTTGAATCACTTGTCCACCCATTCATATTCAATCATGTTAAAGATCACTTATATCCCTGTCAACATGGTTTTATGCCTAAGAAGTCTACTAATACTAATTTGCTCAATTATGTTTCCAATCTTATTGATTCGGTTGACAAAAATCTTCAAGTAGATGTTATATACACTGATTTTGCCAAGGCATTTGATAAGGTAGACCATAATATACTTGTTAAAAAACTTGCGCATTTAGGCATTTCCAATACATTTTTAAACTGGTGCAAATCCTATCTCTCTAATCGTAATGCCAGAGTAGTAATTGATGGCGAGTGTTCGGATTCTTTCAATGCTATTTCTGGTGTTCCACAGGGATCAAATTTAGGGCCTTTATTCTTTGTACTATTCATTAATGATATAGTAAGTGTATTTAAAAATTGTCAGGTTTATTTGTTTGCAGACGATTTAAAAATAGTTAAAGTTATAAAGCAAGAATCTGACGTATTAGAACTACAAGCGAATCTTGATAGACTTGTAAAATGGTGTGAAACAAATCGAATGCTGCTCAATCCGGATAAATGTAGTTTTATTAAATTCACAAGAAAAAATAATCCATTAATGAGTTCTTACAATGTTTTGGGTAAAAACCTGACAGAAACCAATTCCATTCGAGACCTGGGCGTGATATTTGATAACAAATTAAGATTTGATAAACACATTAAATCTATAGTGGCTGCTTCTTTTAGGCTGCTCGGCTTTGTTCTTAGACAGTCTAAAGAGATCAAAAAGGTAACAACAATACTTCAACTGTACAACAGCTTGGTCCGTAGCAAACTTGAATATTGTTGTCAAGTATGGTCTCCCTCTTACAAAACCACATTAAAAGAATCGAACGTGTTCAAAAAAGACTCATTAAACACCTAATATTTCGTTTTAAGGCGTCAAGTCATAGTGAGTGCTACAAAAATAAACTTGCTTACTTTAGGATGAAACCACTGGCAGTTCGTAGATCTTTTCTTGATTTGAAATTTCTTTATAAACTTTTCAATGGTAAAATTGATGACAGTGAGCTGTTGAGCAGATTTAATATTAATGTATCTCGGAGACCTCCTCGCAACCCATGTCCTTTCTTTAGGACCGACAGCATTGGAACAAAACTTGGACAGAATTCTCCAATAACACGTATATCACGCGTATACAATGTATGTGTAAAAAATATAGCAACACTGGACATTGGTTGCGTGGCTCACACTTTTTATGAAAAAATATAACGACTGTTTAGAAAATTAATTATTCACTAACGTTATGCTAAACTTAACTTTTATTTATGTTATAAAAACTATCTTTTGTTCTTAAACTTATTTTTGTTCCAACTACCATTAAAATAGGCAAATTATAAACACTGCTATTGTTTTAGAAAGATGTGTTCTCCTATAATTGGTAGTACATAGTAATTTATAGATGTAAAGCATGTGTTAGAAGTAATTTAATATGTACAACTGTTGGAGATCCATATAAATAAATAAATAAATAAATTGTAGAACAATTGGGAGAGGATTGGTGTAAAGAAAGCATTTTTGAGTCGATCGATTTCCAACTTCCAGTTGAATTGAAGTTCGAATCAGTTGAAGTTGAAATCCAAATTTCAATGGAGAGTGAATAATTTAATTCTGAATATGAATAAATAATAAAATAATTACTTAAAATTTTAAGCATTCGTTACTTAAATGAGTATATATGCTTTGCTTTATATCATCATCATTACAACCCTTCACAAGTCCACTGCTGAACATAGGCCTCCCCCAAGGAATGCCATAAAGCACGGTCCTGAGTCACCTGCATCCATCGACTTCCTGCATGTCTTACCAGTTCATCACTCCATCACCCTACACTACGCCTACCGGTACGAGGCTGCCACTCGAGAACCTTTTTCCCCCATCGGTTGTCGGTTCTTCGAGCTATATGGCCGGCCCATTACTACTTCAACTTATTAATCCGTTGGGCTATGACGGTCACTTCTACTGTCGATATCCTCATTTCTAATTTGATCAAGCAGAGAAATTCCGAGCATAGCGCTTTCCATAGCTCGCTGAGCGACCTTAAGCGTTCTCATACGGCCAGCAGTGAACGAACACGTCTCAGATCCATAAGTCATCACTGGCAACATGCACTGGTTTTACAGTCCCGTTTTCAGGTTTTGATGTATAACTGACGAGAAGATGTGTCGTAATTTCCCGAACGCTGCCTAGCCGAGTTGAATCCGTCGATTGCCCTCTCGGTTGAATTTGGGCTTACCTACTCGTCAACAACTTCGAGCATAGTGCTCCCAATAACTACCGGCATAGGTGTGACATGGACATTATACATGATCTTTGTTTTGTCCATGTTCATCTTAAGATCTATCCGTTAGGAGAAACGAATGAGATCATTGAGCATAGTCCCTAGGTCCTTCAGCGATTCTGCCATAAGGACTACATCGTCGGTAAATCGAAGGTGAATCTTTCCAGTCCAGTAGCTTGAAAACGTCTTGCAATGCAGCGGTGAAGAGTTTCGGGGATATAACGACACCCTTTCCTACACCTCTCTGCAGTTGGATAGGTTTCGTACTCTGGTTCTGTACTCGGATAGCCATCGTAGCCCTACTGTACAAACACTTCAGCACTTCGATATACCGACAGTCAACTTGGCACCGCTGAAGAGACTGTAGCACCGCCCAAATTTCGACGGAATCAAAGGATTTCTCATAGTCCACATATGCCAGGCAAAGTGGCAGATTGTACTCTTTGGACTTCTGTACAATTTGCTGAAGGGTATGTATGTGGTCTATGGTACTAAAGCCTTTTCGGAAACCGGCTTGTTCGGGAGGCTGGAAGTCGTCGAGTCTGCGTGCGAGACGATTTGTAAT